TTTAAACCATTTAAACTAGCATTCACAAGTATCTAGAGATGGAGCATGTTCACCATTAGCTTCCCAAAGTATACAATAACTTTCAGTAGCACTTTTTTCAAAATAATGAATTAAAACTTCCTGCAAATGCTTTTTTGGGGGGGCACAAAATTAGACATTTTTAAGTGTAAAAATATCTATGATATTAACACCTTCAGCAAATTTGACATAAGAAGTTTTAAAGCTTGTTGTCAATACAACAAAATAGCATATATTAATATATCAAATCGCATGTATATCAACAAATGTGTAACTCCATCTATTGAAAAAATCCCGCATTATTAACCAGTACACCTCGTATATGTGCTACAAGCCTGCTCCATATCTGTCTCTGTCACCACCTGATTGATTCCCTCATTGCTTTTGCCCAGCAACGGACCTGAACTTTCTCTGTTTCTCTGTGTGCATACACCTTGATTACTGCAGGCCCCTCCTTGGTTTCCCATGCCTCCTGCTCTGTATCCAAAAACATTTCATGTTTTTCAGCATGATTGGTTTCTGTTATCAGGCTTGCTAAACTGCCATGTCTGCCCCGTCCATGTTCCACCTGCCTTTTGTTTCCCACTGGACCCCTGCGCTATCTGCCTATGTGTCAAGCTAATTCCTCTCACATGTATTTGGAAATAATATATGTCCTGCTGTTGTTGGATGTTCTATAAATGTTGTTAACATAAAAACATTCAAACCTGTAAAGAATTTTTTTTTAATATATTTTTATTTATTGATTTTTTTTTTTTTTTTACAGAGAGGAAGGGAGAGAGATAGAGAGTTAGAAACATCGATGAGAGAGAGTCATCGATCAGCTGCCTCTTGCACACCCCGTACTGGGGATATGCCCGCAACCAAGGTACATGCCCTTGACCGGAATCGAACCTGGGACCCTTCAGTCCCCAAGCCGACGCTCTATCCATTGAGCCAAACCGGTCTCGGCATCAAACCTGTAAAGAATTTTTGTGAGTTTATTTGAGCCAAGCTATTGACAATTGTTAGGAAGCAGAAACTCAACCAATTGAGATAATGCTCTGGAGAATGGCGAGTTATATCTGTATCTATTCACTAGAAACCCAGTGCACAAATTTGTGCATGGGTGCGGTCCCTAGGCCTGGCCAATAATCAGGACTGATCGGGGCTGTCTCGCCCCTCAGGGTACAACCAACATACCACTCCAGAGACTATAAATCTTGTTTTGTTATCATGTTAATTGTTGACTGTTAACTATATGTAGGTAAAAGATCTGTCTATCATTTTACTTTTCATCCAACCCCAGAGGTTTCCCAGCTTTGCTTTTTTCTACCTCCCTCTAACCTATCAACAATGAATTTCATGTAACTTACTTGTGTCTTCTAATTGTAATGTATAAAATAAGGTACAAACCTGACATTCTCTGAAGCATTATCTCAACGGGTTGAGATTTTGCTTCTGGGCAATTGTCAAATTGCTTCTGGGCAATTTGAGTTTGTCTCAAATAAACTCACAAAAATTCTCTATAGGTTTGAATGTTTTTTACATTGATTTTTTTTAAATATACTTTTAATTTCAGAGAAGAAGGAAGAGGGAGAGAGAGATAGAAACATCTAGATGAGAGAGAATCATTGATTGGCTGTCTCCTGCCCTCTGCTGGAGATAGAGCCCACAACCAGGCCATGTGCCCAACCATGACCTCCTGGTTTACAGGCTGATGCTCAGCTGCTGAGCCACATCAGCGGGGCCATAGGCATCTTTTTATTTAAAGTATGTTTCTTACAGACAGCAGATAGTTGAGTCTTGGGTTTTAATTGAATCTTACAATATTTATTTTTTAATTGGATGTTTGGTCATTTATATGTAATTTAATTATCATTATGTTGGGTTTAAAAAGAAGAAGAAAGGAAGGGAGTGGGAAAGGGGGGTGGGGGGGGGAGAGTCAGGAAACCAGGTTGAAATCCTGACTGTACCTCCCAACTTTAGGTAAATCTCCTTACTCCTCTGAGCTATAGTTGCCTAGCATATGTTTGTAAGGATGAATAAGTTATTTATAAACTACAATATGCTCTGAAATTGTAAAGGATTAAAGAATTATCCTGTGACAGACATATAGACAGGTATCATAAACCAGGGTATGAGTAGCTCAAAGACAGGTCTCATTTGTTTCTACATTTCCAGCACCTAGTCCTATGCCTGGCACATAGAGTGATACCAGTAAGTGTTGAGTGAATGAGTCAATGAAAGAAGTAACTTTGGGAAGGTGGGTAGGGGCTAGAAGGAGGGGGGGAAGGATAGGAAATGGTAATACTATCAACAATAGAAAATACATTAAAAAATTAAAAACAGCCCGGACCGACTTGGCTCAGTGGATAGAGTGTCAGCCTGCAGACTGAAAGGTCCCAGGTGCAATTCCGGCCAAGGGCATGTACCTTGAATGCAGGCACATCCCCAGTAGGGGGTGTGCAGGAGGCAGCTGGTGGATGTTTCTCTCTCAGTGATGTTTCTAACTCTCTATCCCTCTCCCTCTCTCTGTAAAAAATCAATAAAATCTATTTAAATAAATAAATAACAAATAAGTAACTATGTTTCTCTCCCTCTCCCTTCCTCTCAGAAAATAATCCTATATAATAAAAGGGTAATATGCAAATTAACAGTAATGGCTGACTGGTCGCTATGATGCACACTGACCATCGGGGGGCAGACGCTCAACACAGGAGCTGCCTTCCCCCCCCCCCCCCCCCGGTGGTCAGTGCACTTCCACAGGGGGAGCACTAATCAGCCAGAAGCCGGCTCATGGCTGGCCAGCACAGTGGTGGTGGCAGGAGCCTCTCCCGCCTCCGCAGCAGCTCTAAGGATGTCCGACTAATGGCTTAGGAGAGCTCCTGGGCTGCCAGAGGGATGTCTGGCTGCCAGCTTAGGCCTGATCCCCTGGGGAGCTGGCCTAAGCTGGCAGGTGGACATCCCTCAAGGGGTCCTGGACTGTAAGAGGGCACAGGCCAGGCTGAGGGACCCCGTCACCCTGAATGCACAGATTTTTATGCACCAGGCCTCTAGTAAAACTATTTTAAAAAACAGGAAAAGGAAGGAAGGAAGGAAGGAAGGAAGGAAGGAAGGAAGGAAGGAAGGAAAGAAGGAAGAACTGAGTAAATGAATGAATGATAGTGTGTAAAAGATAGGTGACTGTCGAATGACAAGCTTTAAGTGGCTATGGCATTGCTAAGGACACTGCTAAGAACTAAATTTACTTTAATTACTTATTTCTTAAATGGGAATACTTTAGTAGCATGGAAGAATAACTTGCATGTATATGTATTTATATGATCATTAGTTCAGCAAGTGTATATTAAGTGCCTACTATGTGCCAGGCACAGTTCTAGGTCCTGGGCATACTACAATGTCCATTTTAACCATTTGTTGTTGTTGTTTTTTAACTTTCCTTTAATTGTTGTTTTTAAATAACATTCAATTTTTAAATTTATTTTAGAGAAAGATAAGGGAGAGGGAGAGAAACGGAACCAAAACCGCAACCTGGGCATATGTCCTGGCCAAGAATTGAACAGGTGACCTTTTGGTGCGTGGGACAATGCTCACCCAACTGAGCCACACCAGCCAGAGCTTAACCATTTGTTTTAAAAAGGCCTCTTACAATAATGATCACCTTCAGTAAGTGAAAGTGCTAACTGAGCCGAAACCATTTTGGCTCAGTGGATAGAGCGTCGGTCTGTGGACTGAAAGGTCCCGGGTTCGATTCCGGTCAAGGGCATGTACCTTGGTTGCGGGCACATCCCCAGCAGGGTGTGTGCAAGAGGCAGCTGATCGATGATTCTTTCTCATCGATGTTTTTAACTCTTTATCCCTCTCTCTTCCTCTCTGTAAAAAATCAATTAAAAAGTATTAAAAAATAAAAAGTGCTAACTGAGCACTGATCCCTGGTGCAAATATAAACATTCCCATTAGTTATTTTGTTTTATTTCAAGAAAAACGATTTTAAATATAATAATGTTATATGCAATAAACATTAATATTTCAAGAAAAACAATCTTTTAAAAATATTTTTATTGCCGAAACCGGTTTGGCTCAGTGGATAAAGCGTCAGCCTGTGGACTGAAAGGTCCCGGGTTCGATTCCGGTCAAGGGCATGTCCCTTGGTTGCGGGCACATCCCCAGTAGGGGTGTGCAAGAGGCAGCTGATTGATGATTCTCACTCATTGATGTGTCTAACTCTCTATCCTTCTCTCTTCCTCTCTGTAAAAAATCAATACAATCTATATATATATTTTTAAATATTTTTATTGATTTCAGAGAGGAAAGAAGAGGAAGATAAAGATAGAAACATCAATGATAAGAGCGAATCATCAATCAGTGTGCAAGCCTGCAACCTGAGCATGTACCCCTGACCAGAATTGAACCCGGAACCCTTCAGTCTGCAGGCTGATGCTCTGTCCTCTCAGCCAAACCAGTTAGGGCAAGAAAAAGAATCTTAACCCATTAGTTATTGATTGGCTGTAATTTTTAAAAAGTTCTCTTTGGGCCCTAACTGGTTTGGCTCAGTGGATAGAGTGTCAGCTTGCGGACTAAAGGGTCTCAGGTTCGATTCCGGTCAAGGGTATGTGCATTGGTTGTGGGCACATCCCCAGTAGAGGGTGTGCAAGAGGCAGTGATCAATGTTTCTCTCTCATTGATGTTTCTAACTCTCTATCCCTCTCCCTTCCTCTCTGTAAAAAGTCAATAAAATATATTTAAAAGTTCTCTTTGGGAAAAGAACTTTTTCTCATTGCTTTTTCCTATTTTTAGCCATTAGTTTGGGAGCAAAACATTTAAAGATTTTTTTTTTTTTAAGCAACAGGTGGCCTGGCCAGCGTGGCTCAGTGGTTGAGCATCAATATATGAACCAGGAGGTCATGGTTCGATTCCTGGTCAGGGCACATGCCTGATTGCAGGCTTCATCCCCAGGGTGGGGCATGTAGCCAATCAATGATTCTCTCTCATCATTGATGTTTCTATCTCTCACTCTCCTTTCCTCTCTGAAATCAATAAAAATATATAAAACAATAGGTGAAGTAATATATATTAGATAAAACTGGAAGACAGATGACAGGGAGTCATTCTTCCAATCAGACTGATGATGTCACTGGAGAAAAGAAGGTCAGTTGGAACCTGATGTCCGGCAGTTACCAGAAGCTGTTGCTAAGCATAGGCACTCAGGAGCTGCCCTTCACTCTAAAGCAGCCAACATCACGTGTCCAAGCTCGGGTACTGGAGACGTAGGACATCTTTGTTACTGACGAAGTGGTCCAAATGGAGATGGACAAGCCCCCACAGCTGGTGACTCCTGCATCAGTGAAAGCCATCATCTCGAGGATTGAGGCCGCCCAGCTAACTCGGGCTCAGGAGGTAACTGCGGAGATGAGGGAGTAATCCTTCTATTGTGGTCTGATGTGGCAGTTGCGGACTGATCTCAGATTTGACAAGATTCCAAGTCTATCCCCTCTATCCCTTTCCCTTCCTCTCTCTGTAAAAAATTAATAAAATATTGGGCCCAAGGGAATCCTGGGATCTTTGACAAGCTGGCTTTGCAGACAGATAAATGCCAAATATTCACCTTCTAGACCTGGCCTCTGCAGGGCAGCCTGAGTCAAACCATCCCCTCGAGGCAGGGCAGGGCCCAGGAAGATAGTAGCCCATGGAAACCCCAGGACAGATCCTAACAAGAGGGGGGCCCAGGGTTCATAATTGGGTCTGTTCTTGACAACCTGTCAGAATCCCCCAGGCTGAGTCCTGGAGGCTCATAGTCAAATGGCCATAGGCTAGAATCACCAGTCTCATGAGCCGCTAGTGCATTTTTTCTGGGAGCCTGTGATCCTGAGTTTCTTGGGACCTAACTTCTCCACCCTGTTACCTCTGGGTCTTGTGAGGAGAGATGCCCAGGCTTCCCCAGCAAATTCTGAAATTCAGAAGAAATTTTTGCTGTGGATTTTTAGTATTCTCTCCCTGACCTGGTCTTAATAATTAAAATCACAGTAGAAAGCTGAAACCGGTTTGGCTCAGTGCCTAGAGCATCGGTCTGCGGACTGAAAGGTCCCAGGTTCGATTCCGGTCTAGGGCATGTACATTGGTTGTGGGCACATCCCCAGTGTGGGGTATGCAAGAGGTAGCTGGTCGATGTTTCTCTCTCATCGACGTTTCTAGCTCTCTATCCCTCTCCTCCTCTCTGTAAAAAATCAATAAAATATATTTTTTTAAATCACAGTTAGTAAGAGCTATTTATTATTGTTTTTTAAATACCACAAAACTCAATTTCCAAATCTCCCAAATTTTTAAAAATATATTTTTATTGATTTTTTACAGAGAGGAAGAGAGAGGGATAGAGAGCTAGAAACATCGATGAGAGAGAAACATCGATCAGCTGCCTCCTACACACCCCTCACCGGGGATGTGCCCGCAACCTAGGTACATGCCCTTGACCAGAATCGAACCTGGGACTTTTCAGTCCACAGGCTTTATCCACTGAGCCAAACCAGTTTCAGCAAGAGCTACTTATTTTTTAAAAAATATATGTTTATTTCAGAGAGGAAGGAAGGAAGGGAGGCAAAGAGGGAGGGAGGGAAGGAGAGAGAGAGAAAGGGGGGGAGAGAAACACCAATGATGAGAGAGAATCATTGATTGGCTGCCTCCTGCATGCCCCCCACTGGGGATCGAGCCCACAACCCGAGCATGTGCCCTATCCACTGAGCCAAACCAGCGAGAGCAAGAGCTACTTATTTTATGCGCCAGACACTGTCCTAAGGGCTTTACAAATTCATTTAATATTTACAAAAACCCTGTGACATAGGTATTATAATGATCTCCACTTTACAAAAAAACAAAACAACACACACACACACACACACACACACACACACACACACACACAGTTTCCAAGAGGTTAAATGACTTGCCTAAGAGCACAGTGCTAGAACATGGCATCTGGCCCCAGAGCTCACAACTCTGAACACTATAACCTTCTGTCTTCCATATAGGATATTTCTTCCCAGCTCACTGACATCTTGGACAATGTCAATTGTGTCATCAACCGCTTCCAGGAAGAATTGGGATATGACTTAAAAGAAAAAGCAAGATCTCACCAGATGGAGCAAAAGGGCAAGACGAGATTCATCTTGCTGGAGAAAATTGCCTCCTTCTCCAAAGATGCTAAGACTAAAGAGAAGCACTTATACGAAATTCTCCACTGGCTGGGTGACTGGGGTGAGTTTGCAGGCTAGTGCCTTCCAGCTGGCTGAGTCTTTTTCTTTTGCCACCGTCGGTTCACATTCCCTGGGAGGGGATTGCGGGGTGGCGGTACAGAGGGAGCCAAAGATGTATCCTGGTGTCTTTCCAGTGAAACATTTTCCCACTCATGTCACAACACATCCCTTCATTCCTCAAAGTGGCAAACATGTAATTGTCAAAAATGTAACATCAGCTGCCATATGTGATGAAGCCTAAGTAACAGGTCCATTATGTTATCTCACTTTTTAGCAAGATGGAAACTAAATTCTTACTCATCATAACTTTTATTTAAAAATTTTCCATCTTGCTGAAACTGGTTTGGCTCAGTGGTAGAGCATCGATCTGCGGACTAAAATGTCCCAGGTTCGATTCTGGTCAGGGGCATGTACGTTGGTTGCGGGCACATCCCCAGAAGGGGGTGTGCAAGAGGCAGCTGGTCGATGTTTCTCTCTCATTGACATTTCTAGCTCTCTATCTCTCTCCCTTCCTCTCTGTAACAAATCAATAAAATATATAATAAATAAATAAATAAATAAATAAATAAATAAAAATTTTCCATCTTTATTGAGATTTAATTGACAAGTAACATTGTGTAAATTTAAAGTGTACAGTGATATATGTCTATATTGTGAAATGACAGTAGTTACTTAACACATTCATCATCTCACATAGTTAGAGATTTAAGAATTTAAGATCTACTTTATTTTTAAAAAAATACATCTTTATTTCAGTGCAGAAGGGAGAGGGAGAAAGATAGAAACATCAATGATGAGAGAACCATTGACCAGCTGCCTCCTGCATGTCCCCCCACCCCGCCCCTTGAAGATTGTGCCCACAAACAGGCACATGCCCTGACTGGAAATTGAACTGTGACATCCTAGTTCATAGGTCAATACTCAGCCATTGAGCTACACCGGCTGGGCTAAGATGTACTTTCTTGGCAAATTTCAATTATACAATACAGTATTGTTTACCATAGTCACTACATGTACAGTAGATCAGCAGAACTTATTTATCTTATGATTGAAAGTTTGTACCCCTTTGACCAACTTCTTCCCATTTACACCAACTTCTCAGTCCCTGGTAACCACCAATTTACTATATTTCTATGAGTTCAAGTTTTTAGATTCCACACGTAAGTGAGATCATACAGCAATGCCTTTCTTTGTCTGACTTATTTTACTTAGCTTAATACCCTCAAGGTCCATCCATGTTGTTGCAAATGGTAGGATTCCCTTATCCTATACTAGAGGCCTGACACACAAAATGTGTGTATGGGTACAGTCCCTAGGCCTGGCCTGCGATCAGAGCCATCTTCCCCGGCTGCTTTCTGCCAGCCCGTCCCCCGGCACCTCCCACCCCTGGCTCCCCATTGGCCATCGGGCCATCAGAGCCTGCTGGCCGGGGTGGGGGAGGAACCAAGAGGTGATCAGTACACCTCATAGTGACTGGTTGAATGGTCATTTTGATCGTTCGGCTGTTAGGGTCAATTTGCATATCACCCTTTTATTATATAGGATAATAAAACCCAAATATGCAAATTGACCAAACTGCAGAATGACCAGTCACTATGACACACACTGACCACCAGGGGGCAGATGCTCAACATAAGACCTGCCCCCTGGTGGTCAGTGCACTCCCATAGGGGGAGCACCGCTCAGCCAGAAGCTGGGCTCATGGCTGGTGATTGCAGTGGTGGTGGCAGGAACCTCTCCCACTTCCGCTGCAGGCGAGCAGTAAGGAGCAAGGGGTCCCAGACTGGGAGAACCCTGGGAGAGGAATGTCTGACTGCCGATTTAGGCAGATGGACATCCCCTGTGGTGTCCCAGACTGCAAGAGGGTACAGGCTGGGCTGAGGGACTCTCCCGAGTGCACTAATTTCATGCACCAGGCCTCTAGTGACTGAATAATATTACATTGTATATACCACATTGAAATTGTTTTTTTCCAATTATAGCTGACATTCAACATTATATTAGTTTCAGCTGTATAGCACAGTGGTTAGACATTTACATAGCTCACAAAATGATTCCCCTGCCCAGCCAGTGTGGCTCAGCAGTTGAGCATTGACATATGAACCAAGATGTCATGGTTCAATTCCCGGTCAGGGCACATGCCTGGGTTTTAGGCTTGATCCCCAATAGGGGATGTGCAGGAGGCACCCGATCAATGATTCTCTCTCATTACTGATGTTTTCTACCTCTCTCTCCTCTCCCTTCTTCTCTGAAATCAATTAAAAATATTTAGTTTTAAAGTTTTAAAATGATTCTTCTAAGTGTAGCACCCACATGACACTATACATAGTTACAATATTCTTGACTCTATTCCTGATGCTGTACTTTACATCCCCATGACTATTTTGTAACTTACAATTTGTACTTCTTAATCCCTTCACCTTTTGGGCCCAGCCCTCTAACCCCTCTTGCATCTGACAACCATCAGTTTGTACTCTGTACCCATGAATTTCTGTTTTATTTTGTTATTTTTAGATTCCACATATAAGTGAAATCATATAGTATTTATCTTATTTCACTTACTAGTAGCATAACACCCTCTAGTTCCATCCATGTAGCTGCAAATGGTAAGATTTCATTCTTCTTTATGGTTGAGTAATATTCCATTATACCACATTTTCTCTACCCATTCATTCATTCATTGACAATTAAGTTGTTTCCATGTCTTGGATCTTGTAAATAATGCTTCAGTGAACATGGACATACAGATATCCCTTGGAGATAGTGATTTTATTTTCTATTTATTTATTTAATTTTAATTTTTTAAATATATTTTTATTGATTTCAGAGAGGAAGGGAGAGGGAGAGATAGAAACATCAATGATGAGAGCAAATCATTGATTAGTTGCCTCCTGCACACCCTATACTGGGGACTGAGGCCACAACCCGGGCATGTGCCCTTGACTGGAATTGAATCCGGGATCCTTCAGTCCACAGGCCAACACTTTATCTATTGAACCAAGCCAGCTAGGGCAGTGATTTTATTTTTTTAGATATATATCTAGAAGAGGAATTCCTGGATCATATGGTAATTCTGTTTTTACTTTCTTTGAGGAAACTAGACTGTTTTCCAAAATAGTTGTGCCAATTTACATTCTCACCAACAATGCATAAGGGTTCCCTTTCCTCCACATCCTCACCAACACTTCTTTCTTTTTTATTTTTTTCATAATAGCCATTCTAATAGGTATGCGATAATTCACTGTGGTTTTGATTTGCATTTCTCTGATTAGTAATATTGAACATTTTTTTTCATGTACTTTTGGCCATTTGTATGTCTTCTTTTTAGTTGTTGTTTGTAGGTCTTTAGAAAAGTGTCTATTCAGTCTACGGCCATACCACCCTGAACGCGCCTGATCTCGTCTGATCTCAGAAGCTAAGCAGGGTCGGGCCTGGTTAGTACTTGGACTGGAGAAAAGTGTCTATTCAGATCCTTTGCCCATTTTTAAAAACATATTTTTACTTACTTACTTATTTATTTATTTATAAATATATTTTATTGATTTTTTACAGAGAGGAGAGGAGAGGGATAGAGAGCTAGAAACATTGATGAGAGAGAAATATCGACAAGCTGCCTCCTGCACAGCCCCCACTGGAGATGTACCTGCAACCAAGGTACATGCCCTTGACCGGAATCAAACCTGGGATCTTTCAGTCTACAGGCCGACGCTCTATCCATTGAGCTAAACCAGTCCTGCATATTTTTACTTATTTATTTAACTTATATATCTTTATTGATTTCAGAGAGAATGGAGAGGGAGAGAGAAATAGAAACATCAACAATGAGAAAGAATCATGGTTCAGCTGCCTGAAGCCCAAAACCTAGGCATGTGCCTTTGATTGGAATTGAACCTGGGACCCTTCAGTCCACAGGCCAATACTCTATCCACTGAGCCAAAACAGCTAGGACATTTTTATTGATTTCAGAGAGGAAGGGAAAGGGAGAGATAGAAACATGAATGATGAGAAAAAAATCACTGATCAGCTGCCTCCTATACATCCTACACTGGGAATCGAGCTGGCAACCGGACATGTGCCCTTCCCGGGAATGAAACCATGACCTCCTGGTTCATAGGTCAATGGTCAACCATGAAGCCATGCCAGCCGGGCTCCTTTGCCCATTTATAAATTGGATTATTTTTTTGTTATTGAGTTGTATGAATTCCTTATATATTTGAGGTGTTAATCTCGTATCAAACATATGGTTTGCAAGTATTTTCTTCCATCCTGTAGGTTGCCTTTTCATTTTGTTGATCATTTATTTTACTGCAGAAACTTTTTAGTTTGATGTAGACCTACTTGTTTATTTTTGTTTGTTACCTTTGCTTATGGTATCATATTCAATATATCATTGCCAATACCAATATCAAGAAGCTTGTTTTCCTCTATGGTTTCCTTTATGGTTTCAGGTTTTACATTTAAGTCTTTAATCCATTTCAAGTTAATTTTTGTGAGTGGTATGATAGGAGTCCATTTTCATTCTTTTGTATGTGAATGTCTAGGTTTACCAATACCACTTATTGAAGAGACTGTCCTCTACCAGTGTGTATTCTTGGCTCCCTTGTCAATGTTAGTTGATCATATATGCATAGGTTTATTTATGGGCTCTTAGTTCTTATTCCATTGGTCTGTGTGTCTGTCTTTATGCCAATATCATACTGTTTTGATTACTATAACTTTGTAATGTAGTTTGGAATCAGGTAGTGTGACGTTTTGTTTTTCTTTTTAAAAAATATTTTTATTGATTTTTAGAGAGAGAGGAAGGGAGAGGGAGAGAGAGAAACATCAATGTGAGAGCGTAACATCGATCAGCTGCCTCCTGTATGCCCCTCAATGGGGAGCAACCCCACAACCCAGAATGTGTCCTGACAGGGAATCAAACTAGCAACCCTCTGGTGCATGGGACAACATCCAATCAACTGAGCCACACTAGCCAGGGCTGATGTTTTGTGTTTCTTTCTCAGGATATCTTTGGCTACTTGGGGGCTTTTGTGGTTCTATATAAATTTTAGAATTGTTTTTTCTACTTCTATAAAAAATGCCATTTATATTGCATTGAATCTGTAGATGGTTTGGAGTAGTGTGGACATTTTAATAATATTAATTTTTCCAATTCATGAACATGGGGTATCTTTCCATTTATATATGTCTTCTTCAATTTCTTTCATTAGTGTCTTATAGTTTTCAGTATAGAGATCCTTCATCTCCTTGGTTAAATTTATTCCTAAGTATTTGTTTTTTATGCTACTGTAAGTGGGATTGTTTTCTTTTTCAGATAGTTCATTGTTAGTATGTAAAAATGCAACTGATCTTTGTTGATTGTATATTTTTCAACTGTATTGAAAATGTTTTTGAGATTTAAAAAAAATAAGATTTATTTTTTAGAGCAATTTAAGTTCATAGCAAAATTGAAGGGAAGGTACAGAGATTTCCAAAATACCTCTTGTTCTTCCTCAATCCCTATTTTTAACATTCCTCATCAGAGCATACATTTTTTACAGTAGATGAAGCTACACTGATACATCATTATCAACTAAAGCCCGTAGTTCATTATGGTTTACTCTTGGTGTCCTTTTTTTTTTTTTTTTATTTTTTTTGGTTTGGACAAGAAAATGACTTGTGTCCACCATTAGAGTATCATATAGAAAAGTTTTACTTTCCTAAAAATCCTCTGTGCCCCTCCTATTTATTAAAACTATTTTTAAAAAATGTGTTTTTATTGATTTCAGAGAGGGAGAGAAAGAGAAACATCAATGAGGAAAGAGAATCATGGATCAGCTGCCTCTTGCATGCCCCACACCGGGATCGAGCCCACAACCTGCCATGTGTTCTTCTGCCGCCCTAAGAACTAAAAGAGTTGACTCAGTTAATTCAGTTAATCGTCCAGATCCTGGGCTAGGCAATATGGGGACAGAGCAATAACAAGGCAGACACATCACTGGCCTTATGGTACAACAATGCTGTTTAATGCCTATTACATATTTTCTACATGACAGACCTCACATGGATCATTTCACATGTATTGTCTTATTTAGTCTCCACCCAGCCTTTTTACAGGCAAGAATACTGAGGCTCATGGGACTAAGCGATATGCCAAACATCACATAGCTAGTAAAAGGTGAAACCAATTTCATCTCAAAGATGCTGTTGTCACCCCTGTGCGATAGGGCTGCTTGGAGCTCCCTAGAAGACAGATTATGGTTAGCCCAAATATTCCGCTTCCTCTCCAGGTGACAGTCTGACCTATGAGATCAACAACAGGCACAGTGAGAAGGAAGAGGAAGGCCTGGACGAATGGATTGAGGTGATGGAAAAATTGTTACCTCTTTCCCTCATCAGCACCAAAGGAGGCATCGAGTCTCTCATTTCCCTTTGCTCCACTCTCATTGAAGGACAAAAGAAAAGGGCACAAAGTAGGTTCCAAGAGTACCTGGGAGGGGGGCTGATTGGGATGGATGCCATCTCAGGAGAGAAGTCACATACCAGGGCCCAAGGGTGTGTGTGTGCTTTATTTTATTTTTTTCTTCATATAAACAAAAGCTTTATCTGAGATGGATGGGCAGTGGTGAGAAGCTGAGGTCTATGAATGGGTTTAAACACAGAGTACACAATCTGTGTTTATGTATATATTCCTGGGGAGGAGGTCTTCTGCTTTTATCAAAGGAGTTTGTAACCCCCAGTGGAAAAAGACACTAGTCATTAAAACAAACAAACAAGTGAACATTTTAGGATCATGTGATACATTTTCTACAAACACAGTTCAGGGTTAATAAGAAAGGGGAATAAAGATTCTCAGGTGATCTGGAGTCCAAGAGCTAAGAAGGCTTCCAGAGTTTGGATAGTTGGCAAATATAGGTATTGAGGCTGGAAGTAACATGATTATAAAAATAGCCCTGGCCAGTTTAACTCAGTGGATAGAGCATCAGCCCATGGATTGAAGGGTCCCAGGTTCGATTCCGGTCAAGGGTATGTACCTTGGTTGAAGACTCGATCCTGGTTGTGGTGCGTGCGGGAGGTAACCAATCGCTATGTCTCTTTCACATAGATGTTCTCTCTAAAAATCAATGGGAAAATATCCTTGGGTGAGGATTAAAAAAAGAAAGAATGAAGGATAAATAACTTTACTCCAGGGAAATATGGAGGATCAGGAGTACTTTGAATTGACTTGAACTGGACTGAATAGTTCCAGGCCCCTCTGAGCCCTGCAGGTGCTATGGAGTAGGCAGGTCCTGACAGGTTAGCCTTTGGCAAGTTCTGAGCCCAGCAGAGATCTTTCCTAACAATATCTCCCCTGGCCTTACACATAACCCCAGCTCCTTTCCTGCCAAAGCTCGAGGAGGGCTAGGTGGGAATTGGGCCAGGCAGCATCTGGAGAAGCAGTACAGTCCTTGAGACCCATGGGAGCTTGTTGCCTTTGTTCTCTCTACTTCTTCTAGTGTCCAAACACACATTGTGGCAAAGCTGGCGAGAACAAAACCTACAAAAATCGACATCCTGCCCTCAGCCACTGAGCCCAGAACAGATGCTCCAGGACAAGAATGCTACCTGTGCGAGGGTTTCTGAGGTGCGGTTCATGCTGCAGGAACTTCTGGACTCCACCATGTTCAACCAGGAAGAAGTCAGGGCCATCAGGTACATGTCTGCTGTGGTGGAGAACCTCAACAAGGCCTTGATCCTCCAGCACAATGAGAACAGGAGCCTGCAAACCAAACAGCGGCAACTGAAAATAGATCTGACCAAAGAACTCAGTAGCCAGAGGGTGTACTTCCAGCACTCCCTCCAAGCCCTTGAGAAAAAGAGGGATGCCCTAACAAGACAGGTAGAAGCCCTAGGGGAAAAGAACCATGACCTTCTCCTGATAAAGCATGCCTTAGAGCTTCAGCTGAAGAAGCCTCAGTCTGCTAGAGGTGAAGCTGACACTCTGGGCCCACTTGAAAAAGAGGCTCTCCCAGAGAAAGAATCGGCCATGGAGGAAAGCCAACGTGAAGCCAAGAAGGAGGAGCAATTGTTTTCACCACTTTCCCCAGATTCCACCATGACTGCGCATTCAAGGGTCACAGATGTACACAGCAGCAGAGACAATGAAAGTCTTCAGCTTGTGTTGCCATCCTCAGTGGATCACAAGTTTCCTAACAAATGGGAAGTAATGTTTGCAAAGAGCCCAGGCCATAAAGTCAGAGACCAGAAGGACTTCATCCAGGAAGCAGCCCAGGAGAAAGAAGAACTCCAAATTAAGTCCCAGGTTAGGGAGCAGCTGTCTCCAGAGAGCTCCAGGACGGTGGCGTTGGAGAGCAAAGGGGAGCACTGGGAAGAGGAACTCAGCTGGGAGAGGCGGAGGCAGCAGTGGCTGGAGCAGGAGGAACTATGGCTGCAGCGGCAGCAGAAGTGGGCCCTGCTGGAGCAGGAGCATGAGGAGAAGCTGAGGCAGTGGGCGGTGCAGGAAGCGGCAAAGGAACAGCAGGAGAGATTGGTCCAGCAGAAAAAGGAGGGAGGGGGCCCTCGGAGAGAGCTGGAGCAGCCAGGCAAGGACGAGGAGATGATCTTCGTGCCCACCAATCGATGGAGGGACTTGGAAAAGGCATCACCATCCCCTCCCCCAAGCCGAACCCAATCTGCTGGCCAACGTAGGAGGCCACACTTGCCCAGGACCCCTAATACCCAGAAGACTGCCCTAGGAAATCAAAGGATCAAGAGTTCACCCGAGTTTACTCTGAAACCATGGACCCAACGGGTTCCCGCGAAGACCAAGAAATCAGCTTCTGTTCCTAGCACAGGGGCATCTGTCCGAAAGGCGACCCAGTCCTCTTTGCATATATCCTCCGTAACTCTAAACAAGAAGGAATACCACATGGATATGGAGGCCCAGAGGAAAAACCTGCAGGTCCTGCGTGAGAATGCTAAGCAGGGGCTGCCCAACTACCTGCACAGCGAGGCACTGAATCTTACCACTACCAGCATGGAACTGACCAAACTTAGGCTGCAGAGCCTGTGCCATAAATACATCATCTACAGATGCTTCCAGAGCCTCCGGTAGGTTCTCCCTGGCTCCTACCCAGCACCTACCCCCACCCACTGTGGTGTGTGGGCACAACTAAAATCCAGGGGTAAGGAGGAACATGGGGAAAGGTGGGAAACCCAGGCCTGGAAAAAGGCCCCCTGAAGCCTTAGCAGCCCTGAAGGAGTGGGAGGTAGGGTATTTAACACATTATTCTCCCTCTAGTGGGCTTTTTCCTCTAAGCCCGCTTCCTTATTTCTTTCTTCCTACCCCACACTGCTATCCACAACACACTTAATATGCTCCCTCATTTGCTTTACTTTCTTCTTATTTCCAGCTGAGCCCCAAGGCTCCTCACCTGACAATGCCTCCCACTTCTCTACTCCCTGCCTTCCCAACTTCTGCTTCTCTTCTTGCTCCCGGGAGTTACAAATGTGGAGTCATCTCTGATGAACAGAATTAGGGGGAAAGTAGGCCCCTTAACCCACTAAATGATTTCCCTTTCTCTCCAGACAAGAAGTGATCAACCACATACAAACCATGCGGGAAACCAAGGCTACCTACAAGGCCCAGAGTCTCTACGTCTTCCTGGAGAACATCGACCAGCTGCAGGACCTGCGCCTGAAGGTCTGGACGGACAAGCAGAAGGACCTGGAGGAGAAGCGCCGAGACTGCCTGAGCAGCATGGCAACCATGTTCCCCAAGGTGGGTCTCCTGCCTGGGGTCAGCACAGACAGTAGGGATGGGGCCAGGAAATGAGCCAGTAGGAATGTGGGGCTGACTGGAGGCAAGAAGGACAGATGATAAATACGAGAACAGGTTAAAGCCTCTGAACCACATTCCAATCTCCATATATGGGGAGGGGCACAGAATGGGACTTTCAAAGACAACTATAGAAGAAAGACTCTTCTGGAGGGGGGAGGTAGCTGGACCCCGAAGTCCCAACTCTGCACCGAATTTCTCCCTCCCTGTGGGTCTCTCTGCCCTGATCCTATAAGTTCTCCAGACTGGTCACAGCGGTCTTCCCCATCACTGAGTCCCGGGTTGTCTGAAAACATCTTTACTTAATACCTACCCTCATTCTTTAAAAAACAAACAAACATTTTTATTTATTTCAGAGAGGAAGAGGGAGAGACAGAAACATCAATGATGACAGAGAATCATTGACCGGCTGCCTCTTGCATGCCCCACTCTAGGGATGGAACCTGCAACCTGGGCATATGCCCTGACCGGAATGAAACCATGCCTTCCTGGTTCATAGGTCAATGCTCAACTACTGAGCCACACCAGCCAGGCTCTACCCTCATTCTGAATTGAGTTTGCCTTAATATGGAAGACTAGGTTAGAATTCATTTTCCCTCATGATTTTGAAGACACTGCTTATTGCCTTTTAGGTTTTGGCGTTGCTATTGAGAGTCCAGGTATTTTGAGTCACAATCCGTTGGGTTTGACCCACCTTTACTCTCTGAAGGCTGACTTGAGCTTCTTTTACTCCTTTCCTCTTACTGGGGCAGCTGACATGGTCCCCAAGGGGCTAGACCAGGGCTTGGAGGGACTGAGGAATCCCATAGCAGTGACTCAAAACCTGCTGGGATCTCCCCAGGGCTGGGCCGGGAGGTAAGCCCCTGAGTCTGGAGCAGCAGCGGACGCAGTCTGGGAGAGGCAGGGTCTGAGGGACTGTGTGTAAGTGCCAGCACCAGGCAGCTGGAAGAGCTTTGGGTTATCTCCCAATTCTGTTTCCTATCATCTCATACCAGTCCCCATCACTTCCTGTAAGTGTCTTAACTTGCTAAATTGGTTTTAAAGTCGAGAGGAAAGGGACCATCTGCCTTCTTTTGGTGATTGTGAGGAATCCCCCAGCTCCTTACCCAGTGCCTGGGTAGGGGCTGGATGAAAAGATCCCCGGAGCATCCAGGCACAACTGGTCCCATGTCATAACGCTGCAAGCGCCTCAGGAGTTCCAGCACTCTGGCTTCCTTTGCTGTTGTTTTGTGTGTGTGTTTTCTCACTGTTTTACCCATTGTCCAGTTTCTCCACAGCAAAGGAGATAACAGGAACTAGTCTAGCAAATAAGAATTCAAGTAATTTCTAGGAAAATGGATACTTTGGGTTCCAGGGGCTTCTCGTTAGAGGCATTCCCTGGGTCTCCGCCCTCTCTGCTCAGCCCTGAGTTAGGCGATGCCGCTCCTGTCTTAGAGAGGGGACGAATTCCTGTCTCCTGATGCCTCTCTGCTGGTTCCTCTAGATCAAGCAGGAGTGGAACATTCATCTGCACACCCCTGTGGTCACCTCCCCAAAGTCAAGGAAAAGCAAGCCACCCCCCTCCTTACTCCGGCGTGTCCACTCTAGCAGCCCCCTCAGGAAGCAGCCCCCAGAGCATCTTCCATCCAAGCACCAGAAACGTGTGCCTCTGCAGACGGCCCGGTAGGTGCAGGGAAGCCAAGGGCACAGCCAGCTGGATGGGCAGGGAGCAGGCGTGGCCAGACTGGGGAGGCTGGCAGCTCCTTTAGAGAGCACAGACAGGCAAAGCTCACCCCATGAGCTGCAAGGCACCTGTCTTCTCAGCTGCCCTGCTCAGCTCAGGTTTTTGGCTCAGACAGGGGAACGGGTGGGGGTGGGGAGTGGAGTGTGGGTTTCAGGGGCCAGCCTAATCAAATGTGATTCAAACTATGCAACAGAAGGATTCCGAGGACCCACAGCTGAGAACTTACAACCATTTCTACCCTGAGCATTGGCCCAGCACCTGCCATTGGTTTATCCATATAAACAAGCCTGATCATCCCCACCTTGTGACACCCCACCCCGCCCCTCTCCCCCAGCCCCTGAGCTCAAAAAGAGATGCTGTGAGTCTGGGAAGCCAACAAGACCCACATCCACACCCACCATAGTATGGCCAGGGCAGGGCTTCAGCTCCAGGACATGTGTGTGGAGCAGGGATGGGGCTCCTCCAGCCACTCCTCAGCCAAAGAAGCCCCAGGGAACTGAGACTTAGGCTTAGGGGAAGAGGGTAATAAGGAGGGCAGTGACAGCTATTTGGGAAAGGAAGACGTATCCTGAGCCTGTGGCCCTGGAGAGCTTGTTGCTTTTCAATCTTTCTGTATGTCTAACACTTTGTCTCTTTTTTACACTTTCCACCCCAGCCCACAGAGGAACCAGATGGAGACTGTTTGGAAGACTGATGTGGCCTCCTCTAGCCACCCAATAGAGAAGTGCCCAGATGTTCCCCAGCTATTGGCACTGGATGTGCATTCCTCCTTCCATAAAAGCTTGACGTCCCTCAAGGCCCGGTACGGGGCAAGGCTGGGGGGTTAATCTGGATTCAGGAAGATTTGTACATCAAGGGTGGGGGCAAGAGTACATACTGCCTCTGTCCATTGACACAAGATGTTTCTTTCCAAACATTAATCATGACCTAATTTATCATATTTATCATGCCACATCAGACAGAGCCATGCTTGCCTGCCTCATCAGCCATCAGCTTGGGTCCCCACGCCAACACCAATCTAGTTTTTTTCAAGGGACTTTCCATGGAGTATCGAAAAATCACTACAGAAATCTTTCCTTCTACTTGTTTCCTGGGCTGCCCACAAATTGCTTAAGTGGCTGGTATCTCACCCTAGGACTGGAGGCTGTTTTCAAAGAGAGTCAGGTGCAGAACGGATAGATGAGGGAGACGAAGAATGACATGATAAACCTGAGACTTGGGCCTGGGCCTGTCTTTGGCATTGTCATTTCCGGAAGGCCTTCAAGAACTGTTCCTGGGAAGAGCAGCTGAGGGGAGGAAGGCAGGACTTAGTAGGCCTACAATCAGCTTTTCTGATTAGGAAGGACCAACTCTCCTTTGCCTCTCGTGGCTTGAAGATTTCACTATTGAAGCAGCCTTTCTCTCTCTCTTTTTTTAATTGATTGATTGATTTTAGAGAGAGGAAGGAAGACAGGGAAAGAGAGAGATCAATTTATTTATGCATTCATTGGTTGAATCTTCTTATGTGCCCTGACCAGGGATGGAACCCACAACCTTGGCAAATAGGGATGGCACTCTAACCAACTGAGCTACCTGGCCAGGGCTCAAGTAGCCTTTCTAGATGACCAATCCCCCACCCCACCCCCAATAAATAAATTAATTAATTAATTTAAAAAAATAGATGACCAATCCTAGCTGCTTCCTGGCCCCGCCCCAATTAAAGATCTTTGACAGGGCCCTGGCCAAGTGTCTCAATTGGTTGGAACATCATCCCCCAACCAGAAAAGGTTATGGGTTTGATCCCGGGCAGGGTGTATACGGGAGGCAACCAATCAATGTTTCTCTTTCACAGTGATGTTTCTCTCTCTCTTCTCTCCCTTCCTCTCTCTCTAAAAATCAATAAACATATCCCCGGGTGAAGATTAAAAAAGCAAACACAAAATAAAAGATCTTTGACAGGGATAGGGCACTGATGTCTGCCAGTCTAGACATAACCAGATAAAAGCTGTAACATGCTGGTGCTGCTGCCATCTTCCAGATGGGATTTAGGTAAGACAGGGCAGCATGGCAGCATCAAAGAAGGCTAATCCTTAGCTAGGCTTCCACTCTGAAGTGGGCCTGAGAGTCTCAACTGGACATTAGCATTATAACCCACCTAGTACATGGATATAATTTCTGGAGAGTTTCCAAGGTGTGTGTGAGTGTGTGTGTGTGTGTGTGTGTGTGTGTGTGTGTGTGTGTTATTGTTATTGTGAGTTAATTTGGCTGTAGCACACACAATTGAGAACAACGAAAACAACACTGTGGCAGAACGGAAGTATCGCGTAAGTCAAATGAGGCCCCGCCCCCTGAGATTTGGCTGAATTTGCCCAAGATGGCCCCATGGTGTTGTCTCTCCTGAGTTCTTTCTCTTTTCCCTCTACATCCCTGCCAGTGTCTGGGCTCTATTTGGCATCTGTTTGAATCGGAGGCTCCCAATCCTTTTGTTGTTGCCATACATAAACGCAAGGTGTCACACACAAAAATGTATACACACTTTAACAGCTGATAGCTCAATTTTGAAAATGAAATGTAGTTTAATAAACATTGCCTTTATAATTACTCAACGTGTGTATATATTTTTGGCGTGCCCATAAATATCAAGAGTGCATATTCTATTTGACCTCAGCGTTTAATGATGTTAGTAACTTTTGGGAAAATTCAGAGAGTGATGTGGAAAGGATTTCACAGTGAACAACACCAAACAGCAGCCTCTTTTCTGCCCCTCTCTCTTCGGTATAATCTGCAGAATTCAAAAACTCGTTGCTGTCTCATGCAAAGCTGTTCCCACCCACACCCAGGCCTCCCCTGGGATCTCAGTTTCAGGCTTAAGCACTTATCAAAATATTGTTCCCAGCAAAGACAGCTTCCCCTTTCTAGGGGAATTTAGGTGAATACAATTTTCTTCCCCCTTTCCCAAGTCTATACAAGTTTATTCACTTTATCTCACTACCAGGCACAGAGGCAACGCCCTGCTTCTTTGGTCTTTTTATCCACATCCCCGGTTGGCACCACCTACCTAAGTGTCAGGCTGGTCCTCAGCCTTTCAGCGTGGGGCTCCCTCCGTTGTCTTGGGACCTGTTATTGCACTATGAGGACCTGCCACTCTTCAACAAAAGTTCTATGCTGCTGCCCAGGCTACCTCTGCCTCAGGGGGCGGAGGGAGATGTCATGCTGCTTTCTTTGTGAGTATGCTGTGTGTGATCCTCTGGGGACACACACTGCTTCCACTCCCAAAAGTGCACCTGCTCTTTGGCCATGTGCTCCTGGCCTACCATGAATCCTCACTCAAGTCTGCTTGCTGTGGTTCCAGGTCATTCACGTCTTGGTGGTCCTACTGACCTCACCAGCTCCCCTGGCTGTGCTGTCGGGTCCACAGCACTGTCTAGTTTCAGAACCAGGACCACTGACCTCATGTTGACTGCCCCATTTTCCTAATCTGCCTGGCATTGACAGCCTGCCCCATCTCAGGACCTCTAAGATGTCCTCTCAGTCTGTGGGAAAGGGCTCTTCATTTTCCCTCTGTGATTTGGGACACTAGGAAGACCATGTCCCTCAAAAAACACTAGATCCCCTCCTTTAAGATCATTTCCTGCTTTGCCTCACAAGCATCTCCTCTGGGCTCTCTGACAGGTAAGATAGTAACATGTCCGTACACACCACATGCTGCCTGCAGATGGAGAAGAACCTTAACCTTTGCTCTCGCTGCCTTCCCTTGCTCAGGGCCCATTCCTGCACAGCTAAAGTTCACAGTGTTCACATGTGTGCATCCAGATGCAGCAAGTGCAAACTCACACAGATGAACAACATGCTGCAGAGAGAGGGCTGATAACTTGGTTCCTGGGAAGGAGATTAGATGGCGATGGAGATGAGTAGGAAGAAGCAGGGAAGTGTAAGGGGAGAAAAGTGAGACAAGAGGCAGACTCACAAGAAGAGAAGCAGAGCCCTGGAATGTGTCAGAAATGGGTGTTAAGCAGTTCCATGTGCAGGTCACATCTGGGCCCAGCTCTGCACTGGTCTCCCAGAGAAGACCTGGGAAGCTCTTGGGCCTTGTCTGCTGCTCCCTAACCTGTAACTGTATTAACTCTTTCAGTGTCTCAGCAACCCAAAGAAAGGAACACCAGGAGCCCTCAAATGTGTCTGCTGAACTTGTTCATAAAAAGTCAAGTGAGTCGCTCCCTGGAGCCCTGAGAAGCCAGAAGGATAGAGACAATCACAGTCCCCAATCCTTCCCTTAGTCAGTGATCCTCAAACTTTAGGGTGACTAAAATCACATGGCAACTTGTTCCAAATTCTGTTCCCAGCTGGTATTTTTTTCAATAAACACCCGGGATGTTGCTAAGTAGTCGTAGAACTTTGAGAAATTCTACTTTCCTCCTCCACTCCCCGAATTGTATAATTTAATAAAATAGAGGTATGTTTATTTTTTAATTTTTCTGTCTCATTGCTGAAACCTACATCTTCCCAATTAATTTTAGGAACCAGGTCCCTGACCACCTGGCCACTGACCTGAACACCAATCAGAGAAGACTCCCCAAGTGTTGTCTCTGTCTTTCTGGAATCAGGAGGCCGAGATGGCCATGATTAGTGCCTGGTATGCAGTAGGGGTGAGGAATCTTGAATGAATCAATGACATGGGCAAATAAAGAACTGAAATAGTGATGATTAGCATGAAAGCACAGAGGATAAAAACAAAAGAAAATACCTCATGCAAGTCAGAGCCAAGTGTCACTGTGTGGGAGGCAAAGGTGAGTCTCAAGACTGATGGCAAAAGTGGCAGAAATGGAGATAGGGAGGTGCCAAATAAAGATGGTGTGGGCTAAGGAGGCCATCTCTGACAATTGTCTGTCAGTTCAGTTAAGACACTCCTTTCCTTAGTTCATTCAGCTAAAGAGCCCTGTCCCACCCTCCCTGTTCCTAGCACACAGCCATCTGTCTCATCTCACTGGGCCTCTACTCTCCCTCCTTCTCAACTCACCCAGCCAGACCCAGCCCAGGGACCAGGCATAATAAAACCTTAACTGGGAAGTGACTTTATCCTTAGAGAACCTGTAATCCAGTGATTCTGAGTCAACTGAAACGCATTATCTGTAGCAACTGAGGCAGGGGTCCTCAAACTTTTTAAAGTGCGGGCCAGATCACGGTCCCTCAGAGAGCTGGAGGGCCTGACTATATGAACTACTAATTCCTACTGTAACACCTCGGCTGCGCTCACTGCCCAAAAAACCTGGCGGGCCGGATCAGACTCCTCTGCGGGCCGCATGTGGCCCGCGGGCCGTAGTTTGAAGACGCCTGATAATTGTGCTGTTCTCAGGTACAGAAGAATGTGCTTCGATAACCAATAAAACCACAATGGGATATTCAAACCACCAACCATGGAGTATTCAATTAATCAAGATAGCATACATAAGTTCAGAAAAATCAAAATAACTTTTCTAATGTCTTAGTAAGCAAATAAGTACAGAACCCAAAACAGCAGGGTTAAAGTTAAAACTGCAGTTTCTACCTGAGATGATTGCTACCATACTTCAAATGCATAGATATAAAATCTAACACGTATTATAAATGTAATGAGAATATTTTGAATATTAAATTTGACAGTGTAATTAAATTGGCAATTCTATATTTTATAAACAATTATACAATATATACATATTTAAAATATTTTTTGTATTTTGAAACTAGTAATTTAAAAAAACAACAACACAGTGACATTTTCACATGTTTCATATGCTCTTGGAACTGTGTTTAAGTAGCCTCGTGGCTAAACTTGCTCTGGTGATGATGGACTTTGACTTTCTGCATGTCCTCTAGCAAGCTCTCTGTCAAACAGGCACAGTATCTAATAGGTTTTTCTCCTGATTTGCCAACGATTCATCTTAAAGGCAAAGAAGGCCTGGATGGGTTAAGCTGTGAAGCCAAGAGGGTTGAAAACCAAGGAGATATATAGATATATATAGTGCTTTTCTAGCAATGAGGTTCTGGATTTTATATATGTGTCTCTTTTTTTCAGAGCAAAGTTTATATATTTAGTATGCCTCCACCCTTAAAAAAGCACAGGAAACCCAAGGCATAGAAAGGAGTATTTTTTTGGCATAGTTCTTCAAGCCAGATTTGGGGTTGGCCATAGCTCTGCTTGTCTTGGAAAGTCCCAAGATGAGAAACTAACATTAATGTGGAAGGGTACATGAGGGACAGGTCTACTTTAGCCCTTGCTGTGATCTTCAAAGGAGGTCTGGATGAAGTGGAAGGAACCAAAACCTTTTGTAAACAATCCAGCCAGAGAGACTGGGGGAGGAGAGCCATGTGAAATCTGGTATGTCCCATGTACTGGGGAGGCCAACTTGGAAAAAATTAGATAAAGGATGAGCATGACTTCATGAATGGAGGAGTCATCTCAAAAAGAGAATAAGAGCATGACTTAGATATAATTATCAATTGGGGACTTTGAAATAGCTATATTTAATATATTAAAGGATCTAGACTAGTGGAAAAGGTGGACAAGATGTTTGAACAGGGAATAGGAAACTATAAAAATGAAATGGAAAAATAGAGAGCTAGAAGTGAAAATCTAAATATAGAGATGAATTCCTTGAACAGTTTTATCAGCAAACTGGACAAAAACAGTGAAAAAAAATTCATGGCTTTAAGTTAGATCAATAGAAATTAAATTATAACACAAAGAGTAAGCAAACAATCAGGCAAATCCAAAACTAAGCAAAATGTATCTGACAATGATAAATGATCTAACACGTGTGTAATTGAAGTCCCAAAAGGAGAAGGGAGAGAAAATGGAGCAGAAGAAATATCTAGAGATAATCACTGAGAATTTCCCAAATTAATGAAAGAAAACAAACCACCGATCCATGAAGCTCAGAGAACACCGAACAGGATAAACACACACACAAAACACACCTAAGCATATCATAATCAAAGTACTAAAATCAAAGATTAAAAAATTCCTTGAAAGTAGCCAGAAAGAAAAAAATATTACATAGAAACAATTAACAAAACAGTCTCTTAATTGAAAACTGCCAGCCAGATGGTTACTGAGGCCCATCTGTATCCCTGCCTTATAAGTGCTCAATGTAACCCAGGAGCATTCCAGGACACTCTCCTGTTTGGGACTGATATTAGCTTTTCTATTAGCTGCAAAAACAACTGCCTAGAACTGAGCAGTTTCTCACAGGACATAACTTGCCATTTCCCCACAGTGTCTAGCCCTCTTCTTGTGTTATACCTAACTCCTCATCACTTTATACATACCTAGCCCTGAGCTGGTTGGTGACTACGTCATCCTCAAAGACTATTTACTGGCTATGAGTAGATGGAGGCTGAATATGCTAGTCAACTGGCCTAAATGCCCTATGATCTGTTGCCCCAAATTTCCCCCCCACAGGTCACCAGCTGGAACCACCAAAGCCCGAGTCCAGCAGGCATACTTATCAGGGTTCGGTTGAGAGATGGTAATTGTTATTGGTTGCAATGCTTGTGAGGGAAGGCAGCTATCAATAATTCAGAAACGCCATGGTGTCAAGTTGATTCAAATTTCCTCTCCCACACCCCTATCCTAAGGGTCCTTATGTAGGTCTCTTGTCGCCTCAGACTTTCTGGGGGGGAGTTCCTTTATTGCGGGAGCCACAAGGGGGCAGCAAAGTGTTTGATTCAGGCCTTGAGATGGCCTGGATGAGGAGGGGGCTGAATTAAAAGTATGGGAATTGCTGAGAGATGGACACAACTGATGCTGGGTGGAGTTCATCTGAGAAGGCGCTTGACTGAGCATGAAGGGCATGTATGACAACTGGAGGGGAAAGAAACAGGGATTCCTGACCCATCCTTTGGACATCTGGATCCTGCAGACAGGTGTTTTTTTGTTTTTTTAATTTCAGAGAAGAAAGTAGAGGAAGAGAGAGAGATAGAAACATCAATTATGAGAGAGAATCATTGATCGGCTGTCTCTTGCATGCCCCCCACTGGGGATCAAGCCCACAACCTGGGCATGTGCCCTTGACTGGAATCAAATCTGGGACCCTTCAGTCCGCAGGCGGATGCTCTATCCACTGAGGGCCTACAGACAGTTCTTAGTGGCTGGAGTCTTCCCTCCTTCAGCTTAAGGCCACTTCCTCCTCACTTGACCACCCACCCTCAGCAGGATCCTCAGCTCTACAGATCAGAGAGAAGTCCTTACAAATGATTCTTCAGGCAACTGTTTTTTAGGACTTTCTCAAGCATGTATAATGTCCTCATTCATTCGTTCATTCATTCATTCATTCATTCATTCATTCATTCAACAAATATCTATTGGGCACCTAATACTAGCCACTGTTCTAGATGTTAGGAATACAGATTTGATGAAAATATTTGTTTTTTTAAGTGTTTTTATGGAAGTTATTTATATTTTATTGGGGAGAAACAGACAATAAACAAACAACCCCCCGCCCTCCCCCCACACACACACACACACAGAGTACAATACACAGTATGTCAGATGGTAAAAGATGCCATGGAGGAACAGAAATTCCAAAAGAGGGGTAGGGTACCAGAATGTAGGGGTTACAATTAAATCAGGTTTTAGTGAGGTGACATCTGAATGAACACTTGAAGGAGGTGAGGAAGCAAACCGTGGGGAAGAGCATTCTAGGCAGAGAATGGCCTGAGGTGGGGGCATGCCTGCACATTCAAGGAATAGCGAAGTCTCGGTGTGGCTGTTGTGAGGTGAGGGAGAAGCAGAAGAGAAGGAATGATGCAGAAGTGACTGGGGACAGATCATACAAGGCCTTATTGACCCTGTAAAGACTTCTTCCCTCCACCCCGAATGAACAAGAGCCATTTTTACTCTGAATGAAATGGGAGCCATTGCAGAATTTTGAGCAGAGATGTGACATACTCTGACCTACACTTCAAGAGCACCACTCTGGCTATAGTGATGGAAACAGACTAAAAGCTGGAAGAAGGAAGCAGAAGACAGTTGGAAACTATTACAATTCCCTCCCATTCAGCAGAGCTTCGTAAATAAGCTCAAATGCTACCCCCCCCCCCCCCCCCCATGAAGCCTCTCCTAATCCCCCTAAGGCCCCGATTCTCCTGGCTGCTCTCCTCATCCTTTGTTCATGCCTTTCTTTTAGCACTGGCCAATCTTGCCTTTGTTCTGGGATTACTGATGGCCTGTCCTCAGCCCCACCAGACTGCAAACTCTTTAAGAGCAGAGGCCTAGTTATTTTCCAATTATTTGCCCAGCTGTAGCTGCCCCAGCACAGAGGGCCGTGCACAAAGTAGAAACCAAGTCAGACGTTCCCTAAGGAATAAGGGATCCCATTCCTCCTTAGCTGATTTGATTTGCTCTTGCCTTTGAGGTTTCTTCTGGGCTGTGTTTCTGCCTGGAGAGCCACATCTCTTTGAGTTAAACACTTACCCACCATGACAGCCCTAACTCATTCTGTTAGCCACACTTCACAGTCCCTCGGAAGATCCATGTTTACACAATCTAGCTTGTCATTGGCCTACAGAGGCAGCCTGTCAGAGCTAGCAGGAAGCACATACAAAACGCTGTTTGCCAGAGCTATTGGCCTCTCTAGAGGCTTCTGAGAGCAACTTAAATGAGTAATTATTAAGTACTTACACATTTATTGAGCACCTACTGTGCTGCTATGCTCTGTACTAGGCAATGAGGGTATAAAAGTTAATAAAACAAACTTCCAAGGAGCTTACTAGTAGTATTGCCAACACAGGATACAGAACCATATGCAAAGCATATTGGGAGAACTAGACATTAGTATTCTCAGGACTTATCACTCATTTAGCACTTTACTAAGTACTGTATGTATAAAGGTGACATTGAGTTACAATCCCTTTTCACACTCCGGTATGGAGATAGGTAATACAATAAATAGTGAGAAGCTGGCATATGTAACAAACAATCCAGGGCCAGTGATGTCATAGAGGTGCAAAGTAAAATGGGGAACAGGGAAGATGTTCGTGGCAGTGTGGGTCTGGTAAAACCTTCAAGGCTAAGTGGGATTTCAAATGTT